CGAGGAGTTCCTGCTGCGACGGCTGCTGGTGGCTGATCCTGGCACCCGCTGGTGCCCCGCACCTGACTGCAGGTACCACCGGCCCCAGCACAGAGACGGGCTGGGCGTGGGCCCCCCTCCCACAACAGCAGTGTGTGCCTGTGTCCTGGGAGCCCTTCCCAGGCGAGGTTCCTCATCACCTTGTCCTTTGTTGGGCTGGGTGTGCCCAGGGAAGTGTGAAATGTCCTGGCCTGGCTGCACAGCCTGTGCTGCTCTGTCCACAGCCCTGGTGTCCTTGGCTGTGCTGGGTACTCTGTGAGCCCCAGGGCCGTGGATGCTGGGCAGGGTGGGATGTTGAGGGTGTATCCCGACTCTCCTGAGTGGGGCTGTGGCTCCAGCTCCATGCGGGACAGGGACTGCCACAGCCTGGCTTGGCTGTGCTGGGGAGGGGCCCCCTGCCGCACCCCAGCTCCAGCCACCTTCTCCCCACAGCTACGCTGTCTTTGCCCACGGCTGTGCTGAGTGTCCCCGCCTCACCTGTGGGCGTGAGGGCTGTGGCACCGAGTTCTGCTACCACTGCCGGCAACCCTGGCACCCTGACGGCCCCTGTGCACCGCCGGCCCCCAGCCTGGCCACCCCCACAGCACAGCTGGCACAGCAGGAGGAGTTGGCCCATGGTGAGGCCCTGGCCCAGGGTGGGAGCAGCAGGGCTGGGCTTTGGCACAGTTGTTTGCCTCTGTGCCTTCTGCCTGTGGGGCTGCTGGAGCCAGGATCCAGAGTTCCCCCTGACTGCTTCTGCTGCAGTCTCATAGCCCCTGTGCCAGTTGGGCCGGGGTGTGTGAGGGACCTTGGCTCCCCACATGACACCTGTGGGATGGGAAGAGCCTGGGACAGGCTGGGAGGGATGCACACTGTTCTGTCCTGCTCGCCCATCCCTTCTTATCTCCCCCCAGCTGAGGCTGAGGACATCAAGGTCTGTCCTCGCTGCAGCGCCTTCATCATGAAGATCAACGATGGGAGCTGCAACCGCATGAACTGCACGGTCTGTGGGTGCCTCTTCTGCTGGCTCTGTCTGCGGGAGATCTCTGATATGCACTTTCTCAGGTCAGTGCGGGGCCATGGGGCTTGGGGGCCCTGACAGGAGCTGGGGAGATCTGTGGGACTGCATTGGGTCAGGGCTGGGGGCCCTGACAGGAGCTGGGGGGCTGGGATGGGGGCAACCAGGCCCTGCCCCAGGTTTGGGGTTAGCTGGGGGGAGCAGGGTGGTCTGTGCTGCTGGGTCTGGCAGGGCTGGGGCTGGTTTTTGGCACCCTGTCAGAGGCAGCTGGAGCTCAGGGTTGGGGGAACCTGGCAACTTGCTCTCTGGTGGGCCCATGGATGTCTCCTGGCACGGAGCCAGCCTGTGCTGGTCTCTGCCTGCCCCTCGCAGAAGCCATGTCTCAGCCCCTCTGTCCCCACAGCCCCTCTGGCTGCACCTTCTGGGGGAAGAGGCCGTGGTCACGGACCCGGAGGATCATGTGGCAGCTGGGCATGGTGCTGGGAGCCCCCATGGTCATCTCTCTTGCTGCGGGTGTTGCTGTCCCTGTCATTACCATTGGGATCCCCATCTACATGGGTAGGAAGGTACTGGCAGGTGGTCCTGGAGTCCCGGTGGTCCTGCTCCCTGCTGAGCCTGGTAGCCCATGGCCCTTGGCTATAGACAGACCTGCAGTGCTCCCTGCTGCCCACAGCACATCTCTGTGCCACCTCTGACCACCCCTCAGCACATGCCTGAGCCCACAGTCCCTCCTTGCTGGGACCTTCTGCTGCGCCCCAGCAGCCCCTGCCAGTGCAGGTGTGCTCAGCATGGGGAGAGGGGTCAGGGTGGGCAAAAGGAGGAAAGGTTCTAGGGGGGCTTTCCAGAACACCTGTGCTGTGGCAGCAGTGGTGGTGTGGCTAAGGAGAGGGAGGGGTGTCGGTGGCTATGGCTGGAGCTCTGCCAGGCTGGAGAGAGGCTGTGTCCCTGGGGATATGCCGAGGTCTTTGTAGAGCACCTCACCTTTTTGTCTTGTCCTTGAGGTGCTGGGCCAGAGCCGGCGAAGCAGTCACTCCGGGTGCCAGCAGTGCCTCTCTGTCACCAGCAGTGTCCTCCTCTCTCTCTTCGTGTCCCCTATCATAACAGCTCTCACTGTGGGTGAGTGCTGAGGGCGCTGCCCATGTTGGGGAGTGGGGCTGTGGCTGTGACGTGGCTGTGCGGGATGTGTGGGGCCAGAGGCACCACAGCTGGGGCTGGGCAGTGACCACTTGACCACCCCCAGGTGTTGGCGTGCCCCTGGTGCTCACCTACGTGTATGGGACCGTGGTGCTGTCGCTGTGCCGGAGCCGCTGGGGCTGCAGGGGCAGCCGCACGCCTGGAGACCTCGGCATGGTGGAGCTGGACAACCTGACCAAACGTGAGTCCCACACAGCTGGCAGGCCCTGGCCTGTGCCCTCCCTGCTCCAGCCAGGAGCTGTCTGTGGGAACAGCGTGCTCTCTCTCCCCAGTGAATGAGCTGTGGTCAGTGCTGCCCAGCCCCAGACCAGGTGAGGACGGAGCTCCAGACCCTGCTGCCTCCATCCCCAGCAGCAGCCGCAGCCCGCACCCGGGGCCAGCATGGCCGGAAGGGGACAGCCAGTCAGCCAGCACAGTGGCCCTTGCTGGGAGTATGCTGAGTGAGGGCCAGGACACCTCTGACAGGTAACAGGGTGGCTGTGCTGGGGGGGCTGGGGAATGGCACATCCTTTCCAAACAGCCTCCCCTGCTCCTGCTGTGCTGGGCAGGGATGGTGATGTCCCCCTTAGGGCTGCTGCCCTCAGAGCAGTGTCTGTCTGCAGGGAAGGTGTTACCATCGAGGTGGAGGTGTCGGTTGAAGCAGTGCCACGTTCTGCCCGGCAGCAGAGCCTCAGCAGTGCCCTGTCTGGGCAGAGCCTCTCTGGGGATTCCCTGGGAGCCACCAGTGACAGGGGCAGCTCCGTGGGTGTCCCTGTGGAGTGATGGGGACCTGAGGAGAGTCTGGATCCACACACAGGCCCTGTGCCCTCCTGTGGCAGAGCCAGTCCCTTTCTGCCAGCATGCCTAGCCCTGGGAGCTGGGTCCTGGGTGGGTGCCAGCTGCACCCAGCACTGCCACACCCTGCAGTAGCCCTGTCTGCCCCTTTCCCAGAGGCACCACTAGGAAATAAAGCTGCTTTCTGAGGGTCCCTCTGTCTCCTGTGGCAAAACTCCCCTGACAGTGCAGCCCCATGGCAGCCCACTGGTGTGCACGACAGGCGTCACATCTGTACCTGCGTGAGGAAGAGGCCACCCAGGCGATGCAGGGGTTGTTGTGGCTGCCCTGACTGTTCCAGCTGATCTGCTCTGAGAGCAGGCTGCAGAGCTGGGGGAGGGCAGCAGCCCCCCAGCTCCAGTCTCTGGTGCTGATCCCCGCAGGGATCTGTCCTGCAGCAAGGCCAGTGTGGAGGGACCACAAGGGAACACTCTGGGCTGTTGTGGGAACCTGTTGCCAGATGGGTTGTGTAGTCTCAGGCATTGGGATCCTCACCACTCTTGACTCCACTGCAGCACCCTTTTTTTTCCCATAGGAAAAAAAAAAAAAGCTACTTCTGCATGTTTTGCTACTCAGAGTTGGGCAGTCACAGAATGAGTAAATGATTTGGGTTGGAAGGGAATTTAAAGCTCATTGTTGTCCCTTGCCATGGGCAGGGATACTTTCCACTAGACAAGATTGCTCCAGGCTTTATCCAACCTAGCCTTGAACACTTCCAGCTTCTCTGGGCAACCTGTGCCAGGGCCTCAACAGGAAAGAATTTCTTCACAATGTCCCATCTAATCCTGCCCTCTGGCAGTGGGAAGCTATTTCCCCTTGTCCTGTCCTGCCAGACCCTTGTCCAAAGTCCCTCCAGCTTTCTTTAGGCACTGTGACTCTAAGGGTCTCCCTGGGTCTTTCTTTTCTCCAGACTGAACATCCCCAGCTGTCCCAGCCTGTCACCACAGGAGATGAGGTTTGTGAGCTGGCTCACCTGCACAACATCTCCAGCTGCTCTGGGATTCCCATGTGATGGGGTTGTGCCTTTGGCAGTGCCTTGCACTGGAGCTCTTCCATTTTCAAGGATGAACTCCACCCTTCTGGTCCTGGGCTGTTGTCTCAGCTCCCAGTTTAGTCTGACCCTCACCAGTCCAGCTGCCCCTCCTGGTACCTTTGAGCCCCTTTCCTGGCAGCCTCAAGCTTCAGCTCCCCACCCTGTCTGGTGGCTCTGCAGTGAATTATTCAGTCCTGAACTGCTTTCTGGTGTTTGGAGTGTCCAGGCTGGGCTCCTGCAGCCCTGTGCGAGTCTGGTGCTTCAGAGCCTCCAACGACACAGTGCTGCAGCTGGATTTGCTGCCGAGGCTGTTCTTATGCTCAGGAACTCTGGATGAGCTGTGTGTTCCCTTAGAACAGGGGTGCCTGAGGAGACTTTTCCTTTGCAGATGTGGGTTTGTTCTCAGCGCAACTTCCACTTGCTGCCAGGTGGGTTTATCTCAGGATCATTCTGGGAAGGGGCTGCTCAGTACCTCACACTGCTGTGCTGTCAGTGTCCTGGTCAGGGTTACTCCGGATTGAATAAACAGAATGGAGAATCACAGGGACAAGCAGTCCTAAAGTGTTAGTTATTTCTGCAGTCCCTGAGAGCCTGAGCTGAGGCAGCTTTGCTTGGTGACACTAAAACCAGTTTGTCTCAATTCCTATATGCTGTCATCCTATTCCTGCTGCCAGGCTTCCATCTAGAGGGTTTGGTTTTAAATTTTCTTCCTGGTCATTAAGGTTTGTGATGCAGTCTCCAGTCTCTGTTGGAGTCCCAAAACGGCTCTGATTTGTGGTGACCTGACATTAGTGTCTGGGATTGAGCAGTGACTGGGTTTAGGCCATTTTCTGTGTTTCTGTTGATGTTTTATCATGCTGATTTTTACTCAAAATGCTCTGTGGTGGGTCCTGTGCCACAGCAAAGGCCCTCAGAGCTGCAGCTGTTTGGGGAACAGATGCAGGGGTTCTGCTGTGGCTGCCTGACAGGTTCAGTGTTGGCAGCTCACCAGGAACACAGTGGAGCACAGGATCCTGGAGGCTGTGCAGGGAGAGGCCCTGCTCAGCTCCGAGAGCCAGTGGCAGCTCTGGCCTGGCTGTCACAGTGTCCCCAGGATGTCACAGGATGGTCAGACAGGGGTACCTGAGGTCCACGAGGCCAGTGGGAGACACCTCCCACCCCAGCAACGGGGACTGCTGCCCACAGAGCCTGTGGCTCCCATGGAATCCTGGGGCAGGTGGGACAGCCGCAGGCTGCAGGGGAAGGAGGGACTGGGGGAAAGAACAAGTGTGGGAAATGGGCATAAAATGGGCCAACTGTGTATAAAAAGAAATAATGGATCACCACAGAGTACTCTTCTTTTCCAGTGTTTTGCTGGGTGCATGGGCTCTTCCTGCTACACAGGGAGAGCTCACCTGTATAGCCCACCCTTCCATCAGTGTTCTACAACCCATGGACATCGCTCCTGCTGGAGCACCCACGGGTATCGACAGCCCTTGGGCCGGGCTGGGAGGAGCCCTAGAGCTTCGCATCAGGGAGGAGCTGCCTCTTGACCCACCTTGATAGAAGGTGCAGCTTTATGGGTGCTAGAGGCAGGTGAGCTCAGGCACATAACTGGTACCCCCATCCCTTGAGTAGAGACAGACTTTTCTCCAAAGGCTCAAGTTTACTGTGAGACTCCTCAGAAGAGCTGTCCTGGGGAAACTGGGAGCCACAGGCCAAAACCACAGGGACAAATGTTCTCCTCCCCACCCCACCTTCCGCTCCAGGAAAGAACCAAGGACCAAGATCACACCTGTATTTTCTGATCTTTTAGTTTGAAAAAAGTATTGATTGAAAGTGTACAACTGAACATGGCGTGGTCGCAGCACCACTGCCAGATTGCTTCACAAATAAAAACAGAAAGGGCCTTAAATAATCGGGTGCAGATTAAAAAAACCTCAACAGTGAAAAAGTTCTTCCCTCCAAACAGAAATTCACAGGCACAGAAATGGCAACAACCACATGGAGACAATGGGGGGACATCCTCCTCCTCCTCCTCCTCACGGCAGACTCTGATGCAGCGCTCCCTGGCGCAGCTCCATCCTCGCTCCCTCTTTGGAATGGTTATGGATGAACAGTGCGACATGCCCTTGCTAACCAGACCCGCCCCCACCCCCTGACCAGGACACGGACAAACAAGGCCTCTGCTAAGGCTAAAAAAAGGACAAGACTTGAGTCTTGAGTTCAGCATGGGTAAGAAACGAGAGTCTGGTGAGCACAGCCCAGTCCCCAGGTGGGCCCTGCTACTCAAGTTTGGCCTTCTTGGTGCTGTCCCCACCGTTCTCCTCTGCTGGTGCTGCCGCCTCCCCCAGTTTCCGCTTCCCACTCTCAGCAGGTGGGTGTGTGTTACGGGGTTTGAAGCTGATAATGATGCAGGTCATGTTATCGCAGCCCGTGCCATCCCCTGAGGTGTCTGGAGCCAAGCACTGATCCAGCAGCTGGGAAGGGATGGGGCAAGTTAGCAGAGAGAAAAGACACACTGGGACCACCCCAAGGCACTGGGCCCATTCCAGCACCTGCCTGGCTCAGGGGCTGCCAGGCCAGACCTGTGCAGGAGGAGTCAAAGGCTGTTCCCACTGGACAAGGGACAGAGATGGCCTCAGCAGCCCCAGGTTTCTGAATGTGAGCAGAAACTCCTTTGCCTGGACAGCACCCCTGAGGTCAGACACTGGCTGGAGTGCCCAGAGAACCCATCTGAGGGAGTGGGAGGGCAGAGCCGAGCACTGAGCTGGGACACAGAAATGCCACGTTGCTGGAGGGACAGCACCTCTCCTGATCTTACCTCTTCTACAATGGAGGAGAGTGGCCGCAGGACTCCGTTCTCATCCTTCTGGGTGATCTTTGACTGGATGAAATCCACCACTTCCTGGCTGCTCATCACATTCCTGCAGAGCAGAGAGGTCAGAAAGGCAGGCAAAGGGAGCACACATGCCAGTGTCCAACAGGCCTTCCTCAGGTCCTGCTCTGGAGAAAGGCTGGAGCAGTGATGCCCCAGAAGCACAACAGCTCCCCCACTACTCACCAGATTCCATCACAGGCAATGACCATGAAGTCGTGCTCATCATTTATTGTCAGCACTTTGATGTCAGGCAAGGCAGAGATCATCTGCTCTTCCGGAGGGAGGTTCTTGTTCCTCTTGTAGAAGTGATCCCCTGTGGTGGGGAGGAAGATGTCTGGGCACAGGCAGTGCTGCCTGCCCTGGACAGTGAGCAGCACTGCCCTGCCACAGGGCATTCCCAGTGGGAACCTGAAATCAGGCTGTGGGCCATGAAGCAGAGCAACCATTGCAGGTTACAGGTGTAAGCTCTTGGCAAGCCCAGGGAAGAGGGGTCTTGGCCAGCTCAGGCTCTCTTTACAGCAAACCAAGTGCCCCCTTCCCTACCTCCTGAGGCAACCAACTCCAGGCCAACAGCACACAGGACCAATCACTTCTGAAGAGGCTGTGGCTGCCCCATCTGTGAAGTGTTCAAGGCCAGGCTGGATGGGGCCTGGAACAACCTGGTCTAATGAAGGTGTCCCTGCCCATGGCTGTGGCTGTAATTGGTTGAGCTTTGATTCCTTCCCACCCAAACCACTCCAGGATTCATTTTATGATTCAAAGTTCACTTGAGAAAACTGGCCCTCAGCTCTGGCTAGCAGTTTGTCAAGAATCATCCTATGAACAGACTTCTAGGGCCACCACAGAATAGCAGGGGGCAATGCCAGTGTCTCCTAGACAGACTCCTTATTTCCATCCTAGTGTTTTTCATATCTTTACACTAAGATGATTTCAGTGGTTTGGGTCCTTCTGTACACACTCAAATAAATGGGCTCAAACTGCCATGAAGCCAGGTCCACAGGAAGCAACACAGAAAGATTCCTCAATAACCCAGTAAGCAGGAGAAGGCCTGTTCCCAAAGGCAGCAGTCAGGTTTTGGGACAGTTTACATAAGGTGGTTTCTGACAACCCAGCTGCTGCTTTCCACTGATGTCCAACTGTTTCATGGCTGTTTTCTCCAATTAGACTGCAATCTCCCATCAGATATTGAGGAGTTTTCACTCATCTTGTTAAACCTTGTTCCATAACCTCAGTGGCAGTGCTGTCAGCATGGCTCTCCTGAGGCTGGTGCTCCAAGGCCAGGCCTGCCAGCACCCCCCTCCTGCTTACCAATGGCCCTGGAGAGGTTGAGGCCGCCGTTCACCCTTCCATCCATGGTGACCTTGCCACCAGCGTTCTTTATCCTGGCCAGCTCCACCTCATCCTCTGGCTTGTGGTCGTAGGACATGTCGACGGCCTTGCCTCCCTCCGACACGACACAGCGCGAGTCCCCGGCGTTGGCCACAATCAGCTGCTTGCCCCGGATGAGCGCCACGACAGCCGTAGTGCCGCTGTCTGAGCCAGGCTGCAAGAGACAACATCTTGGTGAGATTTCCTCCTCTATCTCCTTGTCAGCTCTTTAAGGGAACCAGCACCAGCTGCACAGCCCCAGCAGTGTCCCAGGGTGCTGCACCACACCCCATAAGCACACAGAGAACAATGGAGAAAGCCTGAGGGAAGTGGGAAACACTAGGAATGTGTGTGTGTTCACTGAGGGGCAGGGCTAGGCAACACCTCCATCCCAGTCTCATGCAGTGTGGGGGGGTCAGGATTCTCTGGCATTCCACAGGTCTGTACCCTCTGCTCTAATGTGCTAATTCCAACCCCAGCCCAGCTTGAGCACATCCTCACTTCAAATCAGGACATTTCCCTTAAGGGAGAAATTGGCACCTTGGAAGCCATGTCCCCTTCACCTGACCTCCTGACTGCGTTGTCACAGGCTGAAGAGCCACAGCCCTGGCCTGGTGAGGAGTCATGCTGCACTCTGGAGCAGTGGTGCCAGCAGAGCCCTCCTGTTCTTGCCCCATGCTCTCCCCTCCACACTGCTTTCCAAGCACCTCACACCCAGCAGCAGGATCAGCCTCTTCCATCCTAACCCAGCATCCAGATCTAGGCCCATCCCTCAGCTTTTGCACAAACCCAGGCTGTCAGCAGCTCCCTCAGCCCCAGAAGAGTGCACAGGGTGTTCTATCTCCACCTGAACAGGAACACCCCCCAGCTGAGTCTCTCAAGTGCCCCTGGCTCCACACTGAGCTGCAGAACACAAAACCAGGGCACGCACCTCCTCTTTCCCCTCCATGCCCGGTAACAACATTTCCTCCTCTTCATCCTCATCCTCCTCTGCTTCTTCGGTGTCATCTTCATCATCTTCATTCTCTGCCTCTTCACTGCTGTAACCATCCTCATCCTCACTACATTCCTACAAGAAAGAAGAGACCACAGGAGTCACACAGGGCACTTGGTGCTGTCCCCTGCTGGTCCCTCCATCCTGGGGACCAACGGTCAGCTCCTCCCAGAGGTGTGGGGTGACCTGCCATGTGTCCCCCACACTTGATGGCTACAGCCAGAGCAGCTGGTATCACTACAGCAGTGGATGAAGGGATGGTGCATGCAGCAGGACCAAGGGCCATCAGCTATGGCTGCTGCAGGATGAGGGTGTGTCCTTCGGGGTTAGCTCAACAATCCCAAACATTCCCATGGGATGGCCTCAAAGGATCAGCCTGAAACACCTGCTCCTAGGAACACACCTAGGATGAGCCAGAGGCTTGTCTCAAGTACCACCATAAGCAATGCATTCTGCCCAGCCAGAAGGCCACTCTGTTCCAGTGCTGTTTCCTACCTCACTGTCTTCCTCCTCTTCCTCAACCTCATCTGACTCATCCTCACTGTCCTCAAAAAATTTGGATTTGGTTGTGCGCTGGGGCTTTCCTGTAGAGGAGCAGGAGGGCCCGGCCTCCCCAGTAGAAGAGGTGACGGCCTCGTCACCTTTGCCTAGTTCAGGCTTCTGCAGAGCAGGGCTGTTGCCTCCAGCGCTGGCTTTGTCTGAGGTGGAGGAAATACCCGTGATTTCTTCATCTGGCTTCCCGTTCTTCCTCTCCTTGTGGTCAGGAAGCTCCCCTGGGTCAGCCTCTCCATTCATATTTGACTCCCCATCATGCTGCTTGCCTGTCCCCTCCACAGCGTTATCCCCAGCTGCAGCTACAGACTTGGCTTTGATGTTCTTGGTGCAGTTTTGTCCATAACGTGTGAGAAGCTCCTCGATGGTCATTGTGGCTTCTTCGTGCAGAAGAGCAGCTTCCTCATTATCCACTGCAAATGGAAGAGGGAGGGGACAAGGACAGAGAGGGTGAGAGAGCAGGATACCCGCCACACTGGTCCTGTGGTGAGCTGCTCCAGCTGAGGCTGCTGCTGGCAGAGTTCCAGCAGTCCTCCCCAAGCTGACTGTGAGCACACAGCCAGGCCTCTGCCCTCCCACTGCTCCCAGATGCTGCAGGGGAGCAGGATGGTGTAGCTCTGGAGCCTCCACAGGATGGGACAGCAAGGCCACAGTTCTGCCCACAGCACAGCCTGCCAGTGCACCCACTGCCCAAGACCCAGTGCTCCCTGGCTGACTGACGGCACCACAGAGCATTTACATCAGGCCTAAGGGCTGGTGGTAGCACAGTGTTCACATCAGGTGTGTGGCCAGGGGGCTGAGCTTCACTTTCCCAAGCACAAGCTCCCTGGGAGCTGCAGGGAAGCAGACTCATCACTTCCATGTGCAGGTTTGATCATTAATGCTGCAGCTGGGAACGAGAGAACAGCTGCTCCACGGGCTTGAAACACCCCAGGGATCCCCACCAGCTGGCATTTGGACAGGTACAAGAGGTGAGAGCACAGCTTTGGCCATCTCCCAAGTGGGACTAGACAAAGTGGGATGACTTTCCCCAGTAACCATGGGCCAAAGACCACTGCTTCCCTATTGACATCCCCTCGCATATAGTTTGCTATTTAATCCCAAAAGGAAAACAAATGCAGATCGGCCAAATGCTCCTGAAAATACAGAACAGAAAGAAAGAAAACCCAACCAGCCACCCACACACTTAATTCCTGTCAGCTGGAGAAAAAGAAACAACAAATACAGTGTTTCCAAACTGACACATTGTTCATATTGACAGAATCACCTTGCATCTGTCACAAGGCTGGTCACAAGGTACTCAGCATGAGTAGCACAGATTCCACCCTAGGAAACACCTCCTGGGCTGGCAACCACTTGCTGGTGGAACATTTGCTTCTTTGTGGGAAGAAGAACTGCTGAAGAGACCAGGATCTGCTTCAATCCTATCTGCAGCTGGTGGCTGCCACCAGCCAGGGAGAGCTGAACACTGCACACCACATCGTTTCCCTTCCACAACTGAGCCCAGCTCAGAGTTCCTGATATATCCTGGAACCCTGCAACGCACGGAGGAAGCTCTATAGAAAATGGACAGACTGTTTTGTTATCCATAGTGTTAAGCTTGCAGATGGTTAAGGGTTCCCCCAGCACCAGTCCAAAGCCAAGGACAATGCTAATGGGCAGTAGCTCAACTCAGCCAAAATTTAACTGAGAAACTGGCACAGAAAACCTTGTGCCCAAGGAGACTTGACCCTGCTGCTCTACACCCCTGTCCTGGAGCTGCAGCCTTGTCTGTTCAGTGGCATCTCACTTACCATCATCTTCATCAGCAACTTTCTCCTTCTCATCCTCATCGTCCTGTGGCCGCCCAGCCATCTGGGAGAGCTCCTTAATCACCTCCTCTGTGGTGAGCTTGGCATCAATGGCCAAGAATGCATCTTCCAGGGCCTGTGTGTGAACACAGACATGAGTGGCCAGCTGCCCTTTCCCTACAGGATGCATGCCTGCCATACTGTGCGATCCAGTCTCTTCCAGCTTGCACACTGTAACTAATCACAGCACAGCTGCAGCTGGCAGGGACCTACAGGCTTCTCCTGATCCAACACCCTGCTCCAGCAGGGACACCCAGAGTCAGCTGCTCAGGACTATACCCAGACAGGCTCTGGATGGCTCCAAGAATGGAGACTCCATCACCTCCCTGGAACAGCCCACGCCCAACTGGGTACTGACACAAGGGCTTTCCTTTGTGTTGGCACTTACTCAGTCCAGGACAGAGTTAGCACCTTACCTTTTGCAATTTCCCTTCCTTGTAGGCCTTCTGGTCTTTGATGATCTCAGGGAGGTACTTGGCACAGTACAGGGCAACTTCTTCTCCTGAAAAAGAGCAGAAACTATTTAAAGAGGCTGATCCTTCCAGACAGAACCTGCTCTTGAGCAACTGGATTCCTGAGGTAAATCCTGGGACACAAGCCAGAGCTGCTCCAGACACAGAACAGTGACACAGCAGCTAAGTGTAGGGATCCTGCTCATACCTTCCCGGCAAGATGCGCAGATGGTCCTGACAAACCTCAGAGCTCCAAATCACCAGGTTTGGCCAACGCTGTGAACTTCCCAAGAGGGAGCTTAGGCCCACAGTGGCACTTAGACTGACTCTTTAGGTCCAGCCTACCTGGAAATCTTTAATTTCACATGTCAGTGAAAACAGAAAGAGAAGCTTTTGTTTACTGTTCTATTGGAGCATTACCAACGTGCAGTGAACACATAAAAAGCGTTCTGTCTTCTAGTGTGTGTTCCAGACCAATAGCAATGAGATCCCAGAGTCTGAGATGGACTTCTCAGGAGACAGGGCGGTCACTTGGTACAGGAAAGAGCACAGCAAGGTAAACAGCAGCCAGAACACTGCACTGAGAGCACAGGGGATAACCAGTACTGAGAGATAGCTCAAGTCAAGTGCTCACCCTAGAGCAGCTGAAAGATTTCCAAAAGCCAGAAGCTCCCACAGCTTGGTAAGTAATTATGTCAGGTATGGAATAGGGCATGGGAGGAATTTGTTTAGATACTGAAGGTGCTATTAAGAGAGAAGAAAGAGTAAACAGAGGAGTGATGAATTTCTATAGTTTATCTTGAACAGGGCAAGAAAGAGTAGTGTGAGTTGTAAGAGATCAGACTAGTCATTGAGGTTTTTATATAAGCAAAGAACAGTGTAGGACACAGGAAGGTGGCTCACACCTGACAGAGAAGAAAAATTAGAGCCAGAAACTGAGAAACAAATTAAATGACTGCACAGAAAGAGGGAGAGGAGCAGGGCAAGCTGCAGGTAGGTGGAGGGTCCCACTGCAGGGTCCAGGAATATCTTGAGGCTGTGCTGGACCAATCATTCCCTGTCACAACACAAAGAAGTAGCAGTGTGGGTGGCTGGGCACAGCATGCCAGAGCCTACCTGCACCTGGGGCTTTCCTCTGGCTGTCGGTACAGCCTACGTGGGCTCCTTTCCTTGGGCTACAGGACCATTTTCACACAGGAGCATTTTTCACAGGATGGACCAGCCACACAACTCCTGATCTTCCTGCTGCACATCCCAACTTCCCTGCCCTTCTCTGAGCCCAACAGAGACTGTGCATGACAAAAAGTTGTGCAGGCAGGAGCAAAGCTCTGTGAGGGAATGGGGAGCAAGGGAAGTGAGAGGAGAGCAGCAGCAAGCCATCAGTTCAGCAAAGGGAACACAATGGGAAGAAGAGAAGTAGGGAGGTTTGGGAGAAAGACAGACAAGGGGCTTTTCCAATGTACCTGCAGAGATGGGATCAAGTGGCCATTGACAGAGAACAGAAACAGCAAAATGGCTGTTGCTACACAGTGCTGCAAAGCATTTCATGGTACACACTGAGGGAACAGAGACTGGGTTTGACCTGGAAACACTGGAGAGGACCTCTGACAAGGGCTTAGAGTGACAGGACAGGGGGGAATGGCTCCACATTGATAAAGGGCAGTGTTAGATGGGATATTAGGAAGAAAGTCTTGCCTGTGAGGGTTGTGAGGTTTTGGCCATTCTGTGTTTTCTCCAGAAAAAACTCTTGGAAGAAGGTAAAAAATCGTTAGTTGTCTCCGTGAGATGGAAGCTGAAGGACAGTGATGGCCTCAGTGCAAAGCCCAAATGCTAGATGAGGCTCAAGGTCAGCGTTTGAGTAACAGAACTCTCAGTCAAACACCACTGATCACTGCAGAGCCCAGCGAACAGCAGGACCCAACACCAGCCTCTAACAGGTACAGCACAAAAAAGAGATGGTGTGGGTCAGGTAAACTGATCTTGGGAACACCTGATCCAGCAGTGTGAGCTGCAGCTGTTGACAGATACAAATCCCCTGACATGCTCTGCTCTATTCATTACTAGCTCCAACCCTTCCAGCCCCATGGCAGGTGCCAGGAATGGACTGCTGTGGTTTAACCCCAGGGGGCAACTAAACACCACCCAGCCACTTGCCCACCTCTCGTGGAATCATGGAATGGTTTGGAAGAGTAAAAGGCAAGTAACACTTGAGTCAAGAGAAGTTTGAAAGAATAACAGTAATAATTTTTTTTTTTAAAACGGTGAAAAGGCAAAGAGCGAAGGGAGAAAAATAAGCCTCAAAACAGACAAGCAATGCCAGATCTGTGTCAATGAAGACACATTAGTTGAAAAAAGGCTAAAGCACAAGTAGACAGCAATAGAGACTGATCAAATACTCCCTGGCCCCCACTCAAAGGACAGAGTGCCCAAATATCATTCTCCGGAATCTGGGGGCAGGGAGGCCAGAGCACATAAAGAAGCTGAGGAAGGGAAAAAAACTGGCCCAGCAGCATCTTTCAAACACTGGAAGGCTTGTCCACAAGAGGGAAACGTAAAAGAAAAATTGATGAATGAAATGGAAAATGCTAATATGTAAGAAACCCCCCAAATGCACCTTTTTTCAAATAACACAGTAATAAAATCTTTTCCCAACCAATCTGGAGCAGGAAGCTTACTGGAGAGCTTCAGGCTGAGAGATGAGCAAGGTAAGAGAAGGTATAAGAGAAGCTAAATTCAGCTTTTGCACTGCCAGCTAATAAAGCTTAGCAAGGTTCCCACCCAAAAACTTACTCTTACATGGGAGAGACCTGAAAAATTCCTTCAAACTGAAGAGCTAATGCATCAATAAAATCACACAATAGTAGGGGATGGGCAAAAGCTGTTCTTCTAAGTCAGATTCAACTATATCCATATCCTTCCTGGAATGGTTTGTCTAGGAAGAGCTGTAGAGATTCAATCACTAGAAATCTAAAATACAAGTTAGAAACTCATGTCAGTGCTTTGCCATTCCATGCCTTTCCCTAACATCTATCTTGAATTTTCCCTGTTGTATTTATGAACCTCAATCACAATACCTAATGTCCTATACTAACAGGAATGTCATGAGTGTCCGAAGTCTCTCTAAAACACAATGCATGGAATAAAACCTTGGCAGCTGAGAAACCAACACACTGAGCTCAGAGGAGAACAGATGGTTTGATACTATTCATTCTTGACCCATTTTTGGTAGCTGCTCCTTATATTTATTTTTGCCAGACACACACAAACAGTTTCTGAGGTGAGGAGCTCCTGATCCCTACATCCCATTTCCTTGTCATTTTCTGCCTCTCAGCACCAACCCATCATGCCTGTGTTCTCAAAGATACCCTCCAGGACATCAGTGACTGCTTCACAGGCATCTCTGCACGCTCTCAGATGAAGTTCAGGAAAAAAATAATTTCAGGACACGAAATACATTCTTCAGGATGAGATTACATCTTTGGAAGAGCTATTTGCTATGAACAGAAGGAAACTGCACGTAGATTTCCAAAGAGCTTTCAAATAAATCATCAAATGTTTTCCATATTAAGCTGTCAAAGAAAAGCAAGGAGGTTAGATAGAAGCAGCTTTCAGAATGGAGGATGGCCACTGGGAGAGCTCCTTGAAAAGCTAGGTTGTTCAACATCTACATAAATTAGCAGGAAAAGAGGTCAGTAAAACATGATGGATCACTCAGGATGATTAAAATCAAAATAATATACAAGATTTAATAGCAGAATCTTGAGCTCTTACATTATATTGGCAGAGGAAATTCTGTAATAATATTAGATATAATATTTAATAGCAATATTCAGTCATACAAGCAGAGATGAGCCTAGGACTCCTCTTACAGGGAAAAAAGACATGGAGTCCAAAATAGTGAAAGTGAGAAGTACTACCAGAGTGATTATTCACTCATTCCTTGTGTCTTGGATACTGCAGTGAAATTATCAGGCAGTAGATTTAACCGTATCTTTTTCAAATACTGATTCTATGCAAAATGCACAGTGCAATCAATCACCAAGCATAGGAGCCTTCTTAAAATGCAGTTAAGACAAATTTGTGAAGAGTTAGTTCATCCAGAAGACTCCAGCATGTCTCCAGGAAGGAACAGCTACAATCTCCAGTTTAAGGAACCCTTACAGGGAATGGATCTGCCACTTTTGATTTTCACTCTTTCCTTGGAAAGAGTGAAACCACCGGAAGACACCGCCAAGAGTCAATCGCAGGTGATTTTTCTTACCACTTTTTCTTCTGTGACTCTTCTGCTGTCTTGGGTTGCAATGCAAGATGTACCAAAAGTATGTATTCTATCACCATCTGTTAAAACCTGCTGGGGGCAGTGTTCTTTCTCTCTTCCACGACCCATCCCTCATAACTCCAGGGGTAAATCTGTTAGTGGGCCAGCTGTTAAAACCAGGTATGGCAGTGTTCCTCATCCTCCCTGCAGGGGGATTATCTTCTGTCAATGGGCAACTGAGTCTCACTGCAGGACTGATAAAAGTACATCATTCCATTGTGAGATGCTCCACCCAGGGGGAGGAGCCAAGCGTTCCTGCCTGGATATAATCAGAGAATCAGAACACCAGAGGAGACTTTCTCCACTGGATTCCCAGAGGAGAGACCGGACCCATCTACGCCACTGGACCTTCAGAGGAAAACTACACCCTTCTACAGGATCACTGCTTCAACAGAACCACATCTGTCACTCCAGGAGGTCTGCAGCCACCCTTTAATTGGATTGCTACAAACACTCTGACCAACAGGGTGTCAGCTTGTATTCTGACTCTGTCAGTAGTGTTTTTGTACTACTGCATTTTAATTTTCATTTTCCTAGTAAAGAATTGTTATTCCTATTCCCATATCTTTGCCTGAAAGCCCCTTGATTTCAAGATTATAATAACTGGGGGGGGTGTTCACATTTTTCCATTTCAAGGGAGGTTTCTGCCTTCCTTAGCAGACACCTGCCTTTTCAGACCAAGACACCTGCCCAGCTTATCCACCACAGAATCAGCCGTTCTCAAAAGATATAAAAGATGGAATATGAATCTGATTTAAATTTCAGATCAAACCCTGACCTTCCTTCTAGAACCTCTGCTGATGGTATCTATAAAAGAAAATGCTTCCCATCAAGGAGCAGAATTCCTAACAACAGATGGATGCCCCAGCAGCCATGGACAACCCAGAGGGGTCACACTGAAGGACAGGACAGAGCAAAGCAGACGCAGTTACCTCCGTGTCCATCGTAGACAGAGAACATGGCTGTTTCACTGTCCAGCTCGGGAATGCAGTTGTGGGCATCCTGAAAGAGAGAGCAAAGGTCTGGAATGGCAGGGATTGCATTAGATCCAAAGAAGATCTTAGAAACACAAATTTGTTTGTGTTGAAAAAGCCCTCTGAGGCCACTGAGCCCAACCACTGCCCCAGCACTGCCAACCCAAAGTGCTGTCCCATGCCCCCAAGTGCCACATCCACACTGCTTTTAAACCCTTCTGGGGATGGGGACTCCACCCCTGCCCTGGCCAGCCTGTGCCAGGGCTGGACAAACCTTTCCATGAAGAAACTGCTCACAACAGTCAACCTAAACCAACCCTGGCACCGCTTGAGACTGTTTCCTCTTCTCCCGTCCGTTCTTTCCTGGGAGACAAGCGTGACCCCCACCCAGCTGCACCCTCCCATCTAGGAATTGTAGAGAGAGAGAGAAGATCCACCGATCCTCCTTCTCTCCAGGCTGAACCTTCCCCAACTCCCTAAGCCACTCCTCATCAGACACATGGTCCAGATCCTTCCCCAGCTCCACTCCCATCTCTGGACAAAGCACAAAGGTCAACAACACAAGCCATGTACAGTGCACAGCCCTCTTCTCCATAAGGTCTCTGTGGAACAGCCAGCTTTGAGGAAGGCACCCCCATGATTTTACAGCCAAGTGCCTGAATTCCTTCCCCTGTGGGCAAGCAAATCCACCTTGGTTACTGCAACACAGCCTGGAACAGATGGCCATGCTGAACCTTTCTCCTAAGCCCTTCCCCTGCCCAGCCAACCTCCTGAGATTCCTTCAAGTCCAGCCTTCACCCATCACCTCAGCACCTGACACTGCCAGTCAGGAGGAACACGTATCCTTTGATATGTTCAACAACTTAATCTTGTAAAAAGGTAACTTTGTTCTGTGCTCAGGAAACAGGAACAGTGGTTCTGGGTTTATGTAGAGCTCTGCAATGGAACTGCTGGCACCGGGATGAAAAGAGCTTCTGAACAGGCAAGTGACCATCTGAGTTCAAAACAAGTTATGACTGAATGGTAATGCAGGAAATTTCCCCAGCCCTTACAGGAGAGAGAAATGAAAACAGGGATAAACCAAAAAGCAGCATTTTAATGCTCGCTTTTCTGAGCATTCACTGAAGCCAATGAACCCCCAACATAATAACTAGGATAAGTCCCAGGTGACCAAACAGCAGTGTAATTAAAGAGATGCAAATGCTGCTGGGGAGGAAACCCAACACTGGCACCAAAAATAGTCTGTGCTGCCCTTGCTGAACCCCCACAGGAGCCTGTCCTGATCTGTCCTGTCACTGAGCCCCGAGCCCGAGGGGCAGGGCTGGCACACGCGGCGGGAGGGCTCAGTCCCCACAGCACATGGGGCTTGCTCCGTCCTGCTCCAAGCACGAGGGCAAAGACAGGTCCTGGCATTGCCAACACCACCAGCAGAGCAGCGAAAGCTCCACGTGCTGCCAGCCAGCAGTGTCCAGCCCAGCCCTGGCCAGCGAGTTGCAGTGACCGCTCTCTCACTGACTGTGATCCTGTGTGCTCAAAGAGCTCACAAAGGCTCCAGAAGTCAGCTCCCTGCTACCCAGCCTTCTAGGATCCCTCAATTCCCCCCAGCCATCTCAGTGGTTACAGTAACAGTGGTGAAAAACTGTATCTGAAACCTCAAACACCCAATTCGGCTGAAATGAGTAGGCAAATTAATGAATTAACCTGAGCTCATTTAACAAGTCTCCATATTTTGAACCAAACTCTTGCAGTTTTTGAAGGGCTTTTGTTTTAAGCCTGGGAGAGGAATGAAGCTGCAAACTGGGGCCATTGGTGTCTCACTGTAGGGGTAAAGTCAAAACAGGAGCAAAGAGTTTGGAGAAGCCCCATCCAACCACATCCTCTGCCTCCCACTAAATCCCAGAGCACTCCTCTGGACTATAAAACTGACTTCAGCCCTTTCCTTTATTGCTTCTAGTACCTAATATGATTTTTTTTTTTTTGGTATCCTCATCCTTGGGGTCCCTCATCTGCCCCAAACATTTCCTTACTCCCAAAGCAACCTCTCTGGACTAAGTTACAGTATTTGTTCAGAGCCCTGTATACCCACATCACTTGAAGGCTCCTGAAACCCAAGTACAAGGTGACAAAAAGGTCCTTTACACCCAAAATACCTGTGTCTTATCAGGTGCACACTCTGACTGGCTTCCCCAACACACACAGAACCACAGCATTAAGCACAAACATTTGCTCAGGACTTTCTCCAAGCCTTGCAGAAGAGCAAAAGTGCAACTGAACATGAAGAAAATAAAAAAAACAAAACAAGACAGAGAGCAGAACACAGAGTGCTAGAATGCAAGAAAATGGACTGTTCAGCTGTATGCAAAACATGCATTTCTCTCTCATCAGGCTCACAAACAACCTGGAGCAGGCTAAACTCCTGTCATCTGCTCGTTTCTTGGGATAACTCAACTAAATCACATCCACACTGATGGTCTCAGTGCTGCCTCTGCCAGCACAGATAAACCAGTTATGTTGGGTAGTGCAGCACCCACATCTGCACCTTGGGGCCTCGCCCAGCCTCTGCAAAGGTTCCAGTGCCAGCCCCCAAGTGAGTGAAGTTAGAGCCATGTCCCAGCTGTGGCAGGGCTGAGAGAGCCCCCCAGCACTATAAATCAGGGCTATTCTGCTCTCCCTCACACAGCCCAGCTCTGTGCAAAGGGACACCAGAGCCATGCCTGCATTTAACTGCCTACACACATGTTAATCACCTTTCAGATTACACTCAGTGCTCCAGCAATGTCCCTGTGCCATCAGTTTCCCCCTCCACGGGTAAGGACTAGCTCAGAACTGTGGGCCAGTTCCACACAGACTCTGAGCCAATCTCAGGAGCACAAGAACCAATTCTGGATCTTCTACCCTGAGAACCAGAGCCCTGAGTCTCATGCACAGAAAGGAGGAAACAAGGAAACACCTCTGGCCACTTATTTGTCACCTGTACAACTGCTGTCCCACTCCTAGAAGTTGTGAAGTGTCTGACAAAACAGCTTATGAACCTATATCAGCAAAAATTCAACATCTGACAGTCTGAATGGAACAGCCTCTCCATCCTCTCAGCCATAGGGCTACAAACCAAACACTGAGAGATATACCTGGGATGGCTGCAGGGACCAGGATTAATCCTTACCAAATTCATCTGTTTATTGAACTTTATGTAATAAATGAGCACATTACCGGTACTCACAGAGGGTCTGAAGTTCACAGAGCTGCAGGGCCAGCAGCCCCACACTGCCCTCCTGCCAATCAAGAGCTTTAAAAGCAATTCCTACAGCCTCCTGCACTGGGGGAACACGGGCAAACACCTGGATCCTCAGCCAGCTGTGGGTCTGCTGGTAGCTCATCTGCTCACAACGAGCCCAGAAAAACCAGGACTGGCAACAGGATATTGACAGTAGCCATGAGAATTCTTCTTACAAAATTTCCTATAAATAAATAAAAACAGGGAGGAAGCACAGCAAGACACCGACACTTCATTTCAGAGGAGGAAACCAGGTACTTTCCCTGAGAATTCCCCACTTGATTTCACTCAGCACTTCACCTCAAGCACCAAACGCTCCTTCCCTTCGTTTTTTACCCCGAATTCCTCATTTCTCGAAGGGATTTATCCAGCCACACGTAACCCCCACGACACGGGGGGATTCTCTCCGTAGGAGCCGGAACACGCGGCTTCCGTGCGGAATTCTGGAAAGGCTGAGGCGGCACAAGGAGAGGCAAAATGTTCCTCCCGGCCTGGGGAGGGAGGGGGTGACCGAGAGCTCCTGGACCTCCTCGCCATTCGGCGCCGCCGGGGAGTGCCGGGTGTGGAAGCCGCCGCCCCGCCAGCCTCACCCCCTCACCTCCATGGAGACGCGCCATCCCTGCATGGCGCTGAACCCGAAGTGCAGCGGGCGCGGTCCGAGCCCGGCGCCGTCCCCGGAGCTCTTCACCGTGTTGGGCTGCGACAAGTAGGCGCCCATTGCGGCCGCGGCGGCCTCGGTCGGCGGCGACCGGACCGGACCGGGGGACGCGGGCGGACTGCGGGGGCGGCGGGACCTCGCACCGGCGGGCGGCGACCGGAAGTCGCG